CTGTACAGCGCGCGTCCGGCCTCCACGGCGGTCCAGTCGATGGCGAAGTCCATCTGGCGCACGAAGGGGGACATCCTCGCCGCCACCGTGTGCGCGGCACTCAGCACCACACTGGGCTGTGCGCGAATGATCCTGCAGAGGCAGGACGGGGAGCAGGGGCCGGGTGTCCTGGGGCTGCCCTGAGGGAGGGGCCGGGCGGGTGATGGCCGGGAGGTGGGGCTGGAAGGGCCCAAAGCCCCCCTGTTCAGGTGTAAGCCTTCAGGGGCGTGGTTTCTCCCATGGCGGAAGGGAGTCAGGGCCCCCCAACACAGGGCCCAGTCGTACTCATAGAAGTCGCTCTTGGAGATCCGCAGGAAAGTGCAGTCCCGCTGGGCTCGCAGCGTGAAGATGAGGGGCTCCCCGGTGAGCACAGCCAGCTGCCCAACCAGCTCGCCCGGCTGTGCTACGAACAGGCACACGTCCTCAGCCTTGTCGATCATGCGCTGGTAGACGTGCAGGCAGCCCCAGAGCACAAAGTGCAGGCTCACATCCTACGGGCAGGCACCAGGAGATGGGCACAGGGCCAACACTTCCACCCCAACTCAGGTCAGTTCACCCACCGGAAGCGGAGGAGGGGGTGAAGGCTTTGCATAGCTCAGCTGATATACACACACACACACACACACACACACACACACACACACACATATACATATACATATCTCCATATTATTCAGCTCCCAGGGCAGACATTGCTAATGGATCACCAAACTCTTAAGCCCAGATTATGGCCCATGAATTCTTTCCAACACAGCCAGCAAGAGGCTGCAAGCATTGGCTACGTAGGGGGTGTGGCTTCAATCCTCTTTGCTCTTCTGGGCAATTGGATAGCCGCAGGGAAGAATAAAGTTGGATCCTCACCTTACACCATATCAAAATGGATTAAAAACATGAATGTAAGAATTAAAACTATAAAACTCTTCAAAGAAAATACAGGGATCCATTTTCATGACCTTGAATTTGATAATGGATTTTTGTTGCATAAGCAACAAAATAAAACTTTTGAACTTCAAAGGACATTATCAAGAAAGTAAATGGACAAGTCACAGTACGGGAGAACATATTTGCAAGTCATATGGCCTACTAAGGGTCTTGAATTCAGAATATATAAAGAAATCTTATAACTCAATAATGAAACAAATAACCCAATTTAAAAATGGACAAAGGATCTGAATATAAGAGAGATAAGCACATGAAAAGATCATGACTCATTAGGGAAATGCAAATCAAAACCAAAATGAGATGCCACTTCACACTCACTAGGAGAGCTAGGATCAAAAAATGTTAAAGAGAATGTGGAGAAACCAGAACCTCGTACAGCAGGTGGGCGGGGAGAGGACAGGGTGCAGCCTGGAAAACGGTCTCAGAGAGTTAAAAGCAGAGCTGCCGTATGACCCAGCTGTTTGACTCCTAGGTATCTACCCAACAGAAATGAAACTCATGTCCACAGGGACACGTGTGCGTAAGTGTCCATAGCAGCATTATGCATCATAGCCAAGAGGTAGAAAATAACCCACATGGACATCAACGGAGGAATGGATCAGCAAAAGGCTGAATGTCCACACAGTGAAACATTATTCGTGCTTCAGCAGGACTGAACCTTGCAAACATGATGCTCAGTCGGAAGCCAAACACAGAAGCCCACAGAGCATGTGATCCCATGTATATGAAGTGTCCAGAACAGGCCAATGGATAGAAGTAAGACTAGAGCTGTTTAGGGCATGGGGTGGGTGGGTGGGTGAGGAGGCAGGAGACTGACAGCTACAGTGCATGGGATTTCTTTTCAAGGTGACAAAAACGTTCTAAAATGGACTGTGCAACTCTGTGAATAAACTAAAAACCACCGAAGCACACTCTTTAAATGGGTGGACTGCATAGTATGTGGATGATATCTCAATAAAACTATCACCAAAAATAAAAAATCCCCTGTTCCCCATCCCTTGTTCCCCTCCATGCCTGCTGACATCCTTGGTTTCTAGAAAACGACGTATTACTTCTCACCCAGCAAGTAATTGGCACAAGCGTTCCCTCTGCTCAGAATGCTCTTTCCTCCCCTTACACTTCCCTCCCTCCCACCTGCCTTCTTAGCTGCAGGTCACGTCCTCAGAGATGCTGCCCCCCTGAGCCAGAGTCTGTAGGGCCGAGAACAGCTCCTTCTATCTATGCACTAAGCGCATAGGATCTACGTCCTCTGAATGGAATGTCCACCAGAACTGTGGGCTTCGCAGGGGCAGAGGCCTGGTTTTTCCGCCTCTGCAGCTGCTACACGGGGCCTGGGACATCTGTCCAGCAGGACCTGAGACACAGCAAATACTAAGTACGAACAGGTGCCCCTCTCCTTCCTCTCTGGTTGGCCTGCCTCCCTGGACACCTCCCTTTTCCAACCTTTGATAAACAAGGAAGTGAAACTGTACAGATATGGACAGATTTCTTCTTCCCCCAACATAGCAACCTGTCTGGCACCTCACAAAGCTCCAGTGAGCACCAAAACACTGCAAGGACCCCTGGGAGGGCCAGCCCCGGAGACACACACGCGCTGGAACCACCTAAGACAATTTCTGGCTGGGTCTGGGATGTGAATGGACGTTACTGACATGAGGCTGCCATTTGCCACCAGGTCGGGAAGCAAGTTTCTCTACTGCAGGACTCCTCAGAGCCATGAATATGCTAACGCTGTTCAATGGACTTCCACAAAGAGATAAAGCAGCCGGCATTTCCCAAACCTATTGGCCACGGAACCCTTGTGGTGCAGGTGTGTCACGAAACACACTTTGAGAAATATCTGTGCAAAGCAGAGTTCTCAGCCTTGGCGTTACTGACATTTTAGGCTGGATCATTCTGCTGGGGGGCTGTCCTGTGTGTTCTCGCATCCCTGGCCTCGAACCATTAGACGCCAGGAGCACCCTCCCAAGTCAATAAAAAACGCCTCTACATTACCAAATGTCTGCTGAGGGCAACGTTCTCCCAGGTGGAAAGCCATCAGTGTGAAATTTCAGAGAGAGGGACAGTCACATCCCTAACAAAGCTCCTGAGAAGATCCTGAGAAGACCCCGAGCGATCTGTTAGCATCCACGGCTGCATTGAGCCCAACAGGGTCTCCCAGGTCAGCAGGGCCCAAGTGCCCCCGCAGGAGCCACGGTAGGACCGCACTTTCTCAGCTCATTCCCCAAAACCACAAACAGCTGGCAAAAGCATCACCCAACTCCCTCTGCAGAAAGGAGCCCAACCCGGCAGTAAGCAGCTTGGGGCGACAGTGAATCAGCCAGCCAACAGGCCAGGTGCCAGGCGCCCCACATTCCGCCCAAGCAGTGCTTCAGTCTCAGTACCTATGCCATGTTGCCCTCTGCGTCACCCCTGAGCTGCTGCTCCACACCCTTCCCTGGGCTTGTCACCCTTGCAAACCTTAGGCAGCTCCGACTATTTCCTCTTTCATGCTGGTGGCAGTTACTGCAATACTTCCATCCCACAGATGAGGAAGCAGAGAATTTCCTAGATGACTTGCCCAAGGTCACACAGGGTATCTGGCCAGAGTCCGGGTTTTAATCTAGCCCCTCCCCCCAGAACCCCCTTCCTGTGCGTCCTGATATGAGATCACGGCCTCAGTGCCCCCAAACGGAGACTAGAGGGATTCATGGGGCAGTTTCCAAACCTCCAGGTGCTACCAGCAGGCACTGAAGTCCAGCTCCTGGGGCCAGTTCATGGCCTCTGGGTCCTGATTCCAATTCGTACACATTTACCAAGTGCCCAGCAGGGGCCCAAACCATCAGGGTGTATTACAGAACCAAAAACTCAGAAAACAGGTTGCAGGAAAGGCCAAGGCAGGCAACAGATCTAGGGGCTGGGGTCTTAGAAAAAAGTGTTGGAGGTCAGAGACTGATTGGTCCAGAGCAAGCATGTAAAATTCAAAGGCTAACACAGGCCAAATAAACAAGGCCCATGGGCCGAAAGTTTGACATGCTTGGTTCGAGGATAAGGGGTGCGTGAGCTGGGGGTCAGTCGTAGGATCCGAGGGTCAGGGACTGGAAATCATAGACTAAAAGTTCCACATGTGGGGTCAAAGAGCAAGGATCAGAGATCAGAGGGGTCTCAGGTCACAGTTGTATGTTTAAAGGTCAGGGGTCAGCCTCACCTGGTCCCCCTGGCGGGCGATGATGGTGCCGGCTTTGGCATGATGTAGCAAGACTCGGCTGTTCAGGAGGGAGGGGTCCTGGGGAGGGACGGAGGTTGAGACTGGTCCAGCCAGGCCTCCCCCCACCCTCCACTTAGTCCCCCAGCTCCTGGGCCAAGGCCACCCACCTCAATCCGCATCAACTTGGCCAGCTCCCGCTTTGCCGCCTCAAAGATGCTACTGGTCTGGCGGCCCTGGTAGGGCCCGAAGGGGCAGCCACCGGTGGCTGACTCATCCTCACAGTAGCTGTACTCGCAGGCACCTGCCGGCTGCTCCCGGGGCTCCTGAGTGGGAGTCTACATGGGACAGGGCCTGTGACCTCCCTGCTCCCACCCAACTTTCCTCCTCAGGGGCCTCCGCCAGGGGAAGGGCAGAGAGGGCAGGGCCTTACCCGGACAGGGACTACCTGGGGCCCCCCTGAAGCCTCTTCTTGCAGAGACACGGAAATCCGGCCACGTTCATATGCCATGTCGAAGTCTGAGCGGGGACCTCCCTGCAAGCCTGCAGTGGGCAGGGGACAATAAAAGCAACAGAGACAAGACTGACCACAACTGCCAACCCGTGCAGACGTGACTAACCAATGACTGCCCTCCTCGATCCTCACCACAGCTGGGAGGGCATCATTCAATGAGCACCCATGAAAAAGTCAGCAGAAAGTGCTGCCAGGGTTTCCATTTGACAGATAAGAAAAATAAAGACTGGCCAGCCTGCATTCCAACCCAGAAGTCCGATGCCTCCCCCTCCCGGCCCAAGGCCCCAGACCTGAGATGTCCACTGGCATGGAGATGCAGCGGCTCAGCAGGGGGGCCGAGGGGGCTTCCAGGGATGTGGGCTTCACCAGGTCCCCTGAGGGAGACACGTGTTCAGGCTCCTACCATTGGGGGTGGGGAACTGAAGGGGCCTGGGGAGCAGTCAACTCAGAGTCCCTGGGGACTAGGAGACTAGGAAAGGTACTTCCAATGGGTCTACAGCGAGCATGTCAAACTCAAAGGCTAACACGGCCAAATAAACGAGGCATGCGGCCTGTAGGCCGCGAGTTTGACATGCTTGGTCTACAAAGCTGAGGCCACAGGTCGCTGGAGGACCAGCCAGGAGTCAGATCTGGGTTCCTAGCTAAGAGGCCACTGGGGCTCCAGCGTGGGTCATGTCAGGCACCTGCAGGTCCAGGCAGGGGGGCCCCGGTGGGGTCAGGTGGCCGGCCAGGGGCCTCCCGAGGCTCCTCCGTTGCCGAGGTGCTGCCAACACGCTTGGAGCCTCGAACGGGGCTGGTGCGAGCCGGGAGGCCGGGGCTGGGGAAGAGGCGCAGGGGCTGGATCTCCTGGGGGCAGAGAGCACCGTTATAGCAGATCCCGGGAGGCATGTGCTGCTGCACCCTTCCAACCCCGTGCTCTCCGAGCGACTCACATGGCTGAAGAGCTCATTGGTCAGACCCAGGTAGTTGTGGAGGGCCAGGAAGGTGACTCGCTGCAGCCTCACCATGATGATCTGCAGGGGCGTGGTCAACAGGGGCGGAGCCAGAAGAGGGGCAGGGCCAGGAAGCAAGTCAGACAGCAGAGGGGCCAAAGAAAGTTGAGAGGGAGCATTAAAGGGGTGGGGCCACAAGTGGGGAGGAGGCTGGCTGGAGCCAAGACCAAGGTTGGGAGCACTGAGGGGAGAGCAGAGCCACAGAGGCTCCAGTGAGGAACCCACGTGAGGTGGCAGAAGCCTGGGAGATGGATCAAGACAGCTAATGGGTAGAGTCGGGCAGCACAGAGGTCTGGCTGCTCAGGGCTAACAGCACAGCCTGAGAGACTGCTGGGTCCCAGCCCGCGGGCGCCTGTGATGAGGGAGGTGGACGGCCTGCTGACCTGCACCACGCGCACCAGGCTCTCGGGGTACTTGGTGAAAACTGCAGAGAAGGCCTCCACCGGCAGCCGCAGTACAGTGGAGTCTCGGGCTGCGCGGGCAGACACTGTACGCTGGGGGTGCTGGTGACCCTGGGGATGCAGGGATATGAGGAGAATCAAGGTCAGGGGCTGAGAGTCCTCACTGCTCCCCCAGCTCTTCCTAACTCTAGTGCCTGGAGGAACCACCAGCAGCATCAGGAGACCGGGGCCTCTCCAACCCAGTCCACTGGGTGTGGCGCTGAGCCCCAGCCGCCTTGCCACCCCAAACTGATCACTCACAGTGATGACATCCAGGATGCTCAGAAGGCTGTTGACACTGTCCCCGGGGACTACCTCCTTCACCACACACTCCTTCCCATCCTGTAACACACGGCGGTGGGAGTCAGGGCAGTGACCAGGGCTGCCAACCAGCATGCCATCTCCAACCACACCACTGGCCCTCACACTCACCCACCCGTGATCACTGATGCCCCGATCTCCAACCCCACCGAACCTTCTGACCAGCACCCACTTCTTGTCCATAACTAACTGCAACCACTGACCACCCCAGATACCCTCGGGCATCTGCTCCCAACTCCTGCCTGCACATCTCCAGACCACCAGCCCTATGACCAACAGCAGTGCCTGTCCCCAGTGGCCACTGCATCATTGCTTGTCTCCCTGCACCCCCCTTCGGGCAGCACGTACAGGCCCTGGCAGGCAGAGCTCCAGCAGCCCGTCCTGCACCACATAGATGCTGGCATCTGGCTGGCCTGGCCGGAAGACGTAGTCACCCTGGCTGAGCCGCTGGAAGATCATGTGCCGGCAGAGCTCCAGGAAGAGCGGCTTCTCGAAGTGGCCCAGCACCCTGTGGGATGGGGGAGGGGAGGAGGAATGCAGGTCAGGTCAGCACCCGGCTCTGCAGCCCCAGCCTGCACTCCGACACTGACCGGACGTTCTTCAGCATGTAGAGCACCTCGGAGGGCAGGTGGGAGTTGGCCAGGTCGCCCTCGGTCAGGTCAGCCTCCAGCACGGCAGGCGGGGGCTCCTTCCGCTGCAGTGTTGGGGTCTCTTTCTGGATGCGGAGGATCCTGGTGGGAGGAGAGAGGTATGGGGGCGAGCAGGGAGAAGGCACGGGCAGACCTGAGATCCCCATATACCTTTTCTCCTGAGTCACAGAGAACAGGGATCAGCAAATTCTGGCCTACTGGCCAAATCAGGCCCCCATTTCTTTTTTGTACGTAAAGTTTTAGTGGCACATAGGTACATTCATTCATTCATGTCCATGTTGTCTGGCTATTTTCATGCTACAACAGAGTTGAATAGTTATAGCAGAGTTGTATGTGGCCTGCACAGCCTAAGATGTTTACTACCTGGCCCTAAACAGAAAAACCCTGAGATCACCCCTCCACTAGTCATAGGCCCCTGAAATGGACCCTCTAGTTAGACCCCTGGCATAGCTTCTAAGACACGGGCAGACTTTAGAAAAAACACCTGTTCGTCATGGGACCCCTGACATAGTCCTTCCAGCAATCACACAGCAGACTCCTGAGATAGCCCTTCTAGTGTAGGCAGACCCCTGGCGTAACTTCCATTATATGAGGAGACTTCAGATACAGCCGCTCTGTTCTTTATAAGGTCCCTGAGCTAATCCTTCCTCCCAGGTCTCAGAGAACCCTGAGGCAGCGCGCATTACATGTGGAGAATCCAGGTATAGCCTCTTTGCTATTCACAGACCTGGGAGAGCCCTTCCCCGCACGTCAGTTACTGCTCTGACAGCCTCCACACTGGTCACAAGATACCTGAGATAGACCCTAGTATGAGCAATTCCGAGTTAAACTCCATGATATAGAGAAATCCAGATAGAGCTCCTCATCTGAACAGGGAGGCCCTTGGGCTAGCCCTTCCCCAGGTCAGATTCCTGAGATAGCCCTCTGATGGTCATGACAACATCAGGGCAGCTTTTCAAGGGTGTGAAGACACTGAGATGTGGAGACTCGAGATACGGTATCTGATCATGGAGAACCAGAGACAGCCCTCGCAAGTCACAGAAAGTCATGTGATAGGACATGTTGGTCATGGACAGCCCTGGGACAGACCTTCATATCTCATGAAGTGGATTCCATGATGTTAGGAGACCCCAGAGCCAGCTCGCAACTTAAAAAGATCCCTGGAAGAGCCTTCCTCAGACCCTTGCTAATGACAGGCACCCCTAAATGTCCTTCCTGTATTTCTCGTGCAAGAAGACTCTAGAGATAACTCCCAGGGAACACAATCCCTGACACAGCCTCCTTATGAGGGAAGAACTCCAAGGTAGGTGACATGGAGAGATGTTTTCTGAGGTAGCAAGTCTGCTCAGATAACCCGGGAGAACAGAGCCTACAGATAGCTCTTCCACCTGAGAAAACTCCAACGCGGCACCCCTGTGTGATGAGACCCATGAAACAGCCTACCTAGAAACCCCAGAGAGAGACCCCACAAGGTGTCAGAGATACTGACGGAAGAGCACATAGCTCAGAGATAACCTCTAGGGAGAGGCGTCGCTGGGAGGGGAGTATCTCTGAGATAGCCTAGGGGGACGGCCTGTCTGGTGTGAGGCAGCTCAGGGATGGCCTCTCTGAGGTGAAGACTCCCAAGATGGCCCACGGGGTAGAAAGAAACTGGAGACACATGGGCTGATCACTCAAACGGCCCATGAGGGCGCCCCGGAGCCAGGGGCACTCCGCACAGCCTTACTTCTTGGCAATGTTCAGCATCTTGAGTTTCTTCTTCATGCGTGGCCTGGAAGCGGCGGAGACGGAGGTGTCCACCAGGGAGGAAGTGGACTGTGACACCTAGCACAATTAAGGGGAAGAACAGTCAGCTGCTAGCTCAGACCCTGGGGACGAGGGGTGTCAGATGCCTAAGTCCTTAACCGAGGAGGACGGGTTTACAGGAGTTGTGACTAAGTGAAGGGCAGGGCTTCTGCGTGGCCAGCGGGAGCCTGTTGGTCCTGGACTCACCTTCCGCATAATCTTCCGGCCATAGAAAAGCACTTTGTCCCTCTTCCGGAACCGGTACCGCGGGCCCTCCGGGGCGGGGGTTTCTAGGATCAGGGGAGAGGGGCACTCAGCTCTGCGCAGACGCCACGCGGCCAGAGAGGGGACACTGCGTGCAGACCCTAGCCGGTCCAATCCCGACTGCCTCCGGAACCGGCATTTCAGCTCCCCACAACGCAGCCTCCCCAGAGGGGCCCGAGGGGTCCTCACTCGGCACTCGAAGCCTCCGCACTAGCAGGAGGATGAGCACGGCAGTGACCAGCACGGCGACTCCGGCCCCGATCATCACGCCCAGCACCTGCGGGACGAATGGCACTGGCTGCGCATCGCAAACCCGCCCCACCGAGCCCTCCCCGGGGGCCAGGACGTCCTGGACCCCATCCCACTGCGCTACGTCCACACCCGAGACGTTCACAGCGGCCCCTGTCTTCTGTGTCTCCATCTGCAGAATGGGACAGCGCGACTCCCCCCCAGGGCGGGGGTAGGAGGCGGCGCGACTCTTCCCGGCGGCTCTGCCGTCCGCGCGCGGTGCACGCCGGGAAATATAGTTCCGCCTGAACAGACACAGCCCAGTTCTTGCGGGCCGCGCTGAGCTCGTCGGGAGTTGTAGTCCCCGCGGAGCCTCGCAACCTCGGAGCTTTACCATTCTTGCATGCAGAAGGGCCTCCACCAGCTGTTTCTGGCGGGTCGACAGGTTTGGTAGCCCAGAGTCCTGGGAATCAAGAAGCAGGAGGAACCCGTCACTCTGGGCCCGCCCCTCCCCTGCCACAAGCCCCGCCCCTTCGTACCCGCAGCCTGGGTGGGGGAGAGCTAGAGGGGCGCGGCGGGGCCGAGGGGTGGGGCAAATTGACCTCGGGTTGGACTAGGGAGTGAGGCGTGTCTCTGGTCCCGCCTGACTCTCTTCACTTACGCACCTGGGCCGATCAGCCGCTCTACCTGTCCAACCCCCACCCTAGGGCCAAAGGGCTGCCGCCGGGCACCCACTATCAGCAACCAGCGCCCGGGTTCCCCAAGGGCACGGCTCCTTCACGCCGGCCTCTACCCTATGGGATTAATCCATCCTGACCCCCCGGGAAAACTAGAGCCTAAGCTAAGGGGTCGGGGAAAATGCCTGGCTCCTGGCTCAAGCCTGCCCTGGGGAAGACCCAGGGGCTGGGGCTCGTGGGGGTGCTGCTGGGAGCTCCTACCCAAGGGTGAAGCATAGTAACCTCCATCTTGGGTAAAAACTGCTGTTTAAAAATTTAACCCTGCTATTCTGGCTTCTGTAAACGTTTGCTTGCTTAAATAATAGGGAAAATAAGACTACTCCCCATTCCAGAGAGGCCATAAACCAGCCGTGGGCAAATTACGGCCCCCAAAACTAAAAAAAAAAAAAGACCGTACCCTTTTATGTAATGATGTTTACTTTGAATTTATATTAGTTCACACAAACACTCCATCCATGCTTTTGTTCCGGCCCTCCGGTCCAGTTTAAGAACCCATTGTGGCCCTCGAGTCAAAAAGTTTGCCCACCCCTGCCATAAACTCTGCCCCAGACAGAACTGTCAGTGCTGAAGCCAGACCAGGCCTTGAGATATGGTCTCACCGCCCTGTCCCAGCACACAGAACTTTTTCTCCGAAGGTCCAGAAGTCTAGTTCCAAATTTGGAAAACAAGGAGCTGAAAAATATATAAATAAGGGAGACTTCCACCATATTGGGCCCCAGAATTTGAGAAGCAAGAGTTCCTCTGGGCCCGCTAGCGCTGGCGAAAATAACCAGGACTCCAAATAAATTGCGCTTATTGATGAAGGCGTCTTCTGATTTACAATATAACGAGGGGTCTTGGAGGGTGCGGAGGTCTTGGAAGGGTCCTGGGGCTCTGGGAGTGAGTGGGCTCCCAGGACGTTACTGGCTGATGCTGGAGATCTACTGTCACGTGATAGTAAACAGAGCATCCCTGGGGCTGGATGCTGGCGGCATTGCTGGCGACGCCGGGATTACTGGGGACAGTGAAAAACCACTGATTCTGAGGACGGAACTATTGCTGGGAAACCCGGGAGCTGGCGTGCATGTCCCTGGGGTCGTTCGGCACGAGCGCGCCGGCTCCGTGGCAGATACGAGGAATGCTGGAATATTACTGCGACTTTTCCGAGGCTGCGAATGCTTCTGGCTTCGCTAGAGTATTAATGGGAGTTTAAGGTAATTGGACCCTTGAGATATTACCTGGAAGCTTCAGGGCGGGGTGGGTGGATGGGACTAGTCCCCTCCCACTTTAGGGAACACCTGGCTCCCGGTGCGGAAACAGGGGAATGAGCATCAGAAAGCCGGGGGCTTCCATTAGTCGGCGGAGGACATTGGGAAAGCCGAGGACTCGCTCACAACCCCCGAAGCGGGGGATGGAAACCCGGACTCACCCGGAGGCCGCAGCCGGGACGCACTCTGCCAACGCCGCTGGAGTCGCCCCCCGGCGCGGCCCCTTTAAGTTATTCGCCGAGGGCGCTCGAAGCCCCGCCCCGCCGCTGGGAAGGCCGCGGAGCCAGGCCGAGTGTGGCGACGCCTTAAAGGGGCTGAAGAAGAGGGGGTCTTGGAATGCACCTCCCGCTAGAAATGGGACCACAACGTGTATTTTCCCTTTTTATTTAACATCCACCCTACGCTTGTCCGACCCAGTGGCCCACGCCTGCACAGGGTGCGAGAGCCAGTCCTAAACGCCAACCCTAAGAATGGCCAGCCCGGCTCTCCGCGGTCCCGGGTCCGGGTCAGTTCACCAGCAGCGGTCGCTCCTCCGAGGCGTCCCTGGAGGAGGGCAGTGTCAGGGGGCGGGCAGGCGGCAGCTCCCCGGCAGCCCAGCCCTCCCCGTTCCCGGGGGATCGAACCTGCTCCTGCTCCGGCCGCAGCAGCACAGGCTGCAGGCCGAGCCGCTCCCGCGGCGGAACTTGCCGGAGGTGGGGCTGTCCTGGCACTGCGCGATGTAGGCCTGCAGCTCGCTGGGCTCCACGCCCGTGCTGCCGGGGTGCTGCGGAGAGATGCGGGGTGGCCGGCGTGCAAGGGGCTCCCTGAATCTGCCCTCCCCCACCTCCTTCCCCGCCATCTGGGTCTCCTCGCTGTTCCGAGCGGCTCCCACCTCTGGGCCCTTGTGCGTCAAGGTCTGACTCCAGGAAGACCTCCCCGACTCCTGGATGCTGGGATGTGCGACCCGCACCTGGGTCAGGTGGCGCCCATCTACTCCTCAGTGCGTGGACACCGCAGCGTTCAGCGAGCCCAGCCTTTGCCCTCTGCCTCGGAGGGAGCCACCATCTCTTCCCCAAGTTCTTTCTGGCTACGTGGCCTTTGCTCCAGGCGCCCCTTCCCCCTGGTGCTCCCTCTCTTGGGATCCCACCTCTCAATCTAGAACTTTCTGATATGACGAAAAGGTTTGATTCTAGGGTGTTCAATCAGGAAGCCGCTAGCCACATGGGCTCCTGGGCACTTGATGTGTGGATTGTGTGAGTGAGGAACTGAATTTTGGAATTGTATTTCATTTTAATTAAAATCCAAATTTAAATAGTCCCATGAGGTTAGAGGCTCGTATTGAACAGCACATTCTAGAGACTTTGCTTGCTTCCTAGCTCTCACCGGCAGTGATCATACTCCTGCTCATGCATTATCCGTCTTGCCCACTGGCTCTGGGCAGCCTGTGTACACCTCACCTTGTTTCCTAGAGGCCTGGCCCAGCACAGGGCTTGGCTCACAACAGGCCCTTGGACGCGTTGGCTAAAAGAATCCTGCCTACCTGCCACCCGCACATTCTGCTCTGCCCCCACTGTCTGCCCCCCACAGGACAGAGGGTCAGGAGCAAGGCTTCCTGGTTGAGCCTGGTTTCACCCCTCAGTTGCTGACCTTGGTAAGTCACTGAAACTCTGCGACCTGGTGTCCGTATTGGTAAAAGCCGACTCGAGAACCCTACCTGGCCGGAGCTCACCTGATCAAACTGAGAAGGTGGCAGGTAAGCCATGACAGCAGTCCCACCTGTGACCCCTAATTTCCAGCCACCATTTCCTTTGGCTTTGCAGAGTCTCCCACATTCTCTCCCTGGGTCCTTCTCTCCTCACCCTGCCATGTCCTCTGAGACCCCCCGTGGTGGCCTCCAAGGGACACAGAGCCCCGGTTGGAGCTGTGTGTGATGTGCGTTGGCCCCATGGGGAGGCAAGCTGGAGGGGAGGCGCGGCTGACCTTGATGGCGTCATAGGCACCGGTGATGAGCGCGATGAAGAGGCTCAACACCATGTAGATGAAGAGGCTGATGAAGGAGTAAAGGTAGATCTGGGAGAAGAGCCAGACGAGGCTGCTGCGGCCCTGCTGCGTCTGCATCGCCGCAAACGTCACAAACATGTCATCCCCATTGATGAGCGAGAACAGGCACTCCGACACCATGGACAGCGAGCGGAACTGTGGCCAGGCAGTGAAGTCAGTGGGATTGTAGGGAGGGAGGGGGCTGGGCGGGGGCACAGCAGAGTACTAGTAGTTACAATGGGGCCACCTGGGGCCCACTATGCAATGACAGTGCCCTAGAGTCAAGGCCAGGGTTACCAGGGGTCAGAGGGACAGTGGGCAGAATATCAGCAGTTACAATGGGGTCATTTAGAGTCGTCATGTCAATAAGGTCATAAGGCCAGAGTCATTGGGCAGAACCGCTGCAGACCTCTTGGTAAAGTACAGAGGGTCACGCAGTGCGTCCTGGTCAGTGAGAGTTAAACCAGGGGCCGAGGGCTTGGGACGTAGGCTTGGAGGAAAGGAGCCAGAGAACCTTCACCGGTGGGCCCTGTGCACCCCACAGCCCTGCTGGTCCCTACCTTCACGTGGTAGGGCCCCAGCACGATCCAGCCGCAGAAGCAGTAGCCCAGGTAGATGACAGCCACACAGCAGCAGAAGCGCATGACGCTGGGCAGGGCCACCCGCAGCGTGGCGATGAGGATCTGCAGCGGGCAGGTGGCTGATGAGGGCAGGGCCACAACCCTGGTCGTCAGGGCACACGGGCGAAGCGGGCAGGGCCTGGCTGAGGGCACAGCTGGGGAGCTGAGAAGGGGGAGCCTGGAGCTGGGGGGTAGGCTCACACGGTCCCTGCTCAGACTCAGTGACAGGCACGTCTGGGTGGACAGGTATGTGGCTAAAAGGCTCATGGCGGGTCCTCTGCAGGGGCTGGTGACTGCGCATGAGTATGAATTTGGGAGGTGGGAACTGGGGGACGTGTGGCTGCCAACCGGAGGGAGGGCCCGGCCTGCACCCACACAGGCTTACATTGTACTTGTGGAAGAAGGTCAGGTAGCGGATGACACCGACCCAGACAAGCAGCGTCGAGGTGCCCAGGAGGATGCTGCAGACATCGTAGCTGGCCAAGTTCTAGGAGTGGGAGCAGTGTCAACCACATCTGGCTGGGGAACGTGGCCCCAGGTGGGCATCGGTGGGGGCAGTATAGGCGTCAAGGTCTGGAAGGGGCCGCCCGGGCCCCGGGAAAGGTGTGGGCAGGACCCACCTTAGCTTCAATGCCGATCTTCATGATGGTGCCCGAGATGGTGAGCACATCGCTGGTGACCAGCAGGATGTACCAGCCGTTAACAAATTCCAGCCGCTCCCACAGGCTGATGGCCCGTCCCCGCTGCCGCCAC